CCTTATGTGACTATTCTCATGTTTTGGCTCTTGAGCACTGCCATTGCGGTGGTCTTGAGCACAGGCCATACAGTGGCACGTGCATGCCAGTGTGTAATCAGCAAGGTTGGATTCTAGGTTGGAGCTACCCTCGTGGGGACCACCACAACTGCATGCCGACCCTGAGAATCAAGCTGCCATTATGGTGGTCCCCACCAGGCCGTACAGTAGGAGGCGCATGCCACTGTGTGGCCAGCAAGGTTGGATTCCAGGTTGGAGCTACCCGGGTGGCCATACAGCGGCAGTCTCTCCAGTGGCAGTCCGTATAGTGGCAGTCCACCTAGTGGCAGTCCATACAGTGGCTGTCCGTACAATGGCAGTGCATGATATCATACGGTCAGCCAGGTTGGAGGCCAGGTAGAAGCTAACTGGCTGGCCGTACGGTGGCAGCACATTCTACTGTACGGTAAGTCGGGTCGGATTCTGGCTGGTGGTTGCTGAGTGCTACACACCTAGAACTGTTGATGATGTGTTAGAGCAGATTAACAGTTCCAAGTCCCATTGGGTACAATAATGTTAGGGGCTGACGGGCTGGTACCCATCTTTTTGTGAGGGAGTGTTAGGGAGGAGAGAAGAGGGAAGGTTGAAGGAATCAATCATTGAGCAGGTCACTGAATGTCTGATGATGGGCTCATCAGACATTCAGGTGCATCATGCATCTTTCTAGCTGTGTGTCACTAAGACCACAAGGCCATCATCCGATTTACATTGTGCGCCCCAGTTGTGAGGAAGTGTTTTTGCAATCTCAACTCAACTCAACTCAACTCATGTAGCAACATTGCAGAACTCAGAGTCAAAACCAAAGATTCAGTCATCCATTGCAAGCTGGGGAAGATCGAGCGGAATGCGGATGAACAAAGAGCATGAACCCATGGTTGATCAAATGATTGATTAAACAAACAATCAATGATGAATGCGATATCCAATCAACAAACCGATCACCCTCTCTTCACTCATCTCCTACACTCGCTCCGTCCTCTTCCACTCTCTCAAACGAAACAATCCAGGGAATCCTTAATTCATCACTATAAGCTTTACACGGAGGGTGTGTCTTTACCAGCTTTTTCTACGTACACCTGTGTAGAAGCACCCAAAGGAGAATTTGGTGTATATTGAGTTAGCAACGGAACCAGTCGTCCTTATCATTGTAAAATTTGCGCACCTGGTTTCGCTCCTTGACAAGGGCTTGATTTTATGTTGAAACATCACATGCTCGCTCCTCCCCTGCCCTGGCACTACTACTAGGGGTTTACCAGCTCATATAGTTGGCCTGCCCTCCTGGCTGATCGTGGTAGGGACCCCTCCCTTCCATCTTTCACCAAGGGTTAGGGTGAGAGAGATAAGGCTATCATGGAAAACCTGTGGACCAGCCAACACCTGCTAGGTAGTGTGAGGTTATTGACAGAAGACTATAGCTTAGTTTTGTATAGAAGAAGGGAAAAGAAAAAGAGCTTCACCTAGGCCTGCCATCACTGGAAGCTGACCAACGAGATTAAATGTGATGCCCAGGGACAAGCCGCCACTTGCGCTTTACTACCCGCTTTAGGGCTAGACCCATGGTGGCGGTCTCCAGAAGTGCAGCGCCACTTTCCTTCACCCACAGGAAAGCAGTGGTGATCTTCCTCTTATGTCAAGTCTTCTTCACACATATTAGAGGCTTCTTTTTCCTTACCATGCGGGAGCTTGGTGCTATTGGGCTGTAGGGCTACCATCTTCATCAGAATAGAACACCTGGTCATTATATGTTGCATACTGTAACGTGCAGACCAGAACAAGAACCGACCTTTCAATACAAAGTATAAGATAGCACAACGGAAGACTTAGATACCGGTGATCCGAACAATCAATATTGCAATGCAGCCCTGAACATACATCATCATCATCGTTACATGGTGTGAATGGGGCCTGGCGCTTCACACAGGAAGACCGCGCCAGCCCATACCATACACAGACGAAGAGGAAGGGGATAGACGAAGAGGAGGGGAAGATGGGAATGTCGTCAACACCAAGTCTTCGGCACAAGYCCRAATASTCCCTCGTCGAAATGTCTGAATCCCAAATGTCAAGTCTGGATCCAATGTCRTCAAGTCTCAAGTCACAACTCTGTCTCTCTCTGTCGTAGTCTRAGAAGTCAGGTGGCGAGAGGGTGAGAAGAGAAGGTGGACTTAGAAGAGGAAGAAGAAGAACTCTCTCTCTCTGTGTGTCCARTACTAACCTGTGAWGTTGGYGCCTTGATGCAGKTACCACGAAGATGGAGCTGGAGCRATGGCGCCACAGGTAAGTACCACTGGCCTCCGCCAGTCTCTCTCCCACTCTACGATCTACCACCTACCAGCGCCCAGCGCTGAAGACTACTCTATGGCTATGGCGCCCAGCGCCGAAGACTACAGCTAGCGCTACTACTACTTAGCRCTGGAGACTACTKCAGCRCTCCTCCTGAGTGCTGCGGCCGAATCCTGAAGACTACCAGTGCCTACTGAAACTACCCTCCCCGTGAAGTGCCTGGGAAGGTCCTATRTACTACCACGGGTGCCTCCTGACTCGTGCGAGCAGTCCAGRASGCTGCACTTGCCAATGCCGAAGGGAGGCAGGRGCTGCAGCTGCAGCTCCTGCTCGMGCTYGTGAGGAACAGGCTATTTCTGGCCTGTTCCGCATCCCTGTTTACGTGCCTGAGTCTTAGGGGCAGGTCGAAACAATGAGGGCCTGAAAATGGCCCTCCGTTTCAGGCTGAAAACTCTGGGTCTGAAAAGACCCAGAAATAGGCTGAAACGGGGTAGGGCCTGCAGGCCCTCGTTTTTCAGCTTTCAGGCTGAAACGGGGTAGGGCCTGCAGGCCCTCGTTTTTCAGCTTTCAGGCTGAAACGACCGGGGCCTGTAAGCCCTAAGTTTTAGGCTTTTAGGCTGAATGTCTGGGACGGGCCCTGCAGGGCCCGTGTGGCTAGGCAGTATGCCACCCCCCCCCCTTCTTGAAGAACCGAGCTTACCTGCGAGGGCGAAGCTGTCCGTCTGAGGGAGGGACCACAGTCCGGTTGGGAGCGGCTGGTCGTGAAGCTTCCTGAGCTAACCTCCGCTTTTCATAATGCGCGTAGATCAGTGGTGCGGATGCTTTCAAATCTGCGCCTGAAATCCACCGAGTGTCGTCGCGATCGCATGCTTTGAATGTGACTTTGTACTGCCGCGGCTTGCTGCCGTACTTGCSATCGGAGATGACGCGGTCAACTTCCTGATAGCCATCCATAGAAGGAGGGTCCTGCGATTGTTGGTCCGGAAAGTCGTCGCTCTTGGCTGGCGTGTATGTTGCCAGCTTCGAGGCGTGGAAGACCGGATAAACCGTCAGATGCTCTGGAATGTTGATCACAAATGAAGGGCCATCGGGCTCATCGCCCGCGGCTGCTGTCACAGACCAAGGTCCAAACCA